CCCAGCACTTACGAAGCAGGAGGATCAGGAGTCACAAGTTAGCCTGGGCTACATAACGAGACCATGTTCCATAAAACAAACATGTTAACGTCTCCAGTGTTTGGCACCAGGTGAATGAAATCAAAGCATGGATGAAGGAAAGACTGTGTCTATCACAGTTCCACTTCCAAAATATTCCCAGAACTAGGCCTCTTCTCCCCACCTCAGTTCTGTGGTCCAAGCAACCATGCTCTGGCCTGGATTATTAGTCACCTCCACCTCGCTCCCTGCTTCAGGCTATTCTCGGCCCAGCAGCTGACATGTCTACTAAAATCCAAAAGTACTGCCCTGGCTTCCCGTTCTCCTCAGAGGAAAAGAGTCCAAGTTCCTCCAGGTGTAGTGGCGGTGCTGGAGTCTCAGCTACTTGGGAGGCTGAGAGGCAGGAGGATTGTTTCTGCCAGGGGCCGGACACCAGCTTAAGCAACATAAGAGATAGAGTTACTTGGGAGGGGAATAAAGAGTGAGGGAGCTGGGGTCAGTGGCAGAGCTCTTTCCTAGTGGACACAAGGAACCTGCAAAACACAGGCACATAGATATAGACACACACACACACACACACACACACACACACACACACACAAAGGATTTCTCCACCCCACACACCAGGTCAGTCACTTCTCTGATACCATTTGCCATTCTGAGCTGCTTCCTGGAACATGCTGGGCCCACTTGCCCACTAGGCTTTGTGTTAGCCATCCTTCCACCAGAGAACCTCACCTTCTTCATGTTCCTGGCAGTGTCTGGAATGGTCTCATGGCCTGAGTGGAGATGGATGCCATGGTCTGTGACATCTTCCCTGACCACGATATGAGAGCAAGCAAGGATGGCCCTCCCCACCAGCACATCTCAGCCTACCCTTCTTGTAATTCCCGCTTTCATCCATATACCATGCAATGTACTGATATTCTGGGTACTGTCTTTCCCCCGAAAGTGTACCCTGAGAATGAAATGCACTCAGGTGTTTATTTTTTGTCTCTATCTGATACCTAGAAATCTCCCTGGAAGGTTGAGGAGATGATTCAGTGGATAAAACACCCATGTGAGGATTGGATGCCCAGAACCCATATAACTTCCAGGCAAGCTTGGTGGCTTGGAAGGTGGTCACAGGGCACCCCTGAAGCAAGCTGGATAGCTCAACTAGCCCATATCGGCAAACTCTGGGTTCAGTTATGAGAGCGAACAAAATAGAGTGATCAGTAAAGACTCCAATATCAACACACAGGGAAACAAACAGACATACATGTATGCCACACATACATTTTTTTTAAAAAGCTGCCTGTACACCGTAGGTTCTCAGTAAATAGCTCTTTTTTGTTGTTTTCTGTTTTTGTTTCTGAGACAGGTTTTCTCTGTGTAGTTTCTGTGCCTGTCCTGGATCTCACTCTATAGCCCAGCCTGGCCTGGAACTCACAGAGATCTGCCTGGCTCTGCCTCCTGAGTACCGGGATTAAAGGCGTATGCTATCGTTGCCCAGCAGTAAATAGCTCTTAAACAAACAATAAAGAACCAAATGGCAGTCAGGTGGTGGTAGCACACACCTTTAATGCCA